TCAGCAGGACAGAAAAAATTCACCTGGGCACAGAATTAAGAATATGCAGAGAATAGCCTAAACCTAACGAGCCAACATTACTCAGTAGAAGCTTTGCAGCATCTCTCAGGCACATCAGTATTAGGATTGCATTGTGCAAAAAGCCCCAGAAGCATTTTGAGCTTCTTCTGGGTTAATTGTTTTTGCAGCTCCTGTTCCTAGAGCGAGAGTTTGGGCTGATGTCCCATCCAGAACCGCATTCCCCTTGTGCCCTCCCTCTTCCTTTGAAGTCCTCTGGGGCTGCAGTACAGGGGTCCATTGCGGCAGAGCGGTGGGATTTATGCTGTACCTCCTTCTGCAGGCCAGCGAGAAGCAGGTTCACTTTGTCGTGTCCCGGCAGACCCGGCAGCAGACCCCCGACATCTTGCAGGAGACCGGCTGGAGGTACAGCGGCAGCGGCCCCCAGGCCTGTCCCGCCGAAAGAAGCCACCCCAGCAAGGTGAGGGCGCGAGCGCTCCTCTTGGTCCTCTGCTGTCTGTGGGACAGGGCATTGGGTGGGCAACTGGCATTTTAGTGTCTCAGGTTGCTACCTCTGGTTTCTGCCAGCAGAAGAAGCATGCTATATTTTGCAGTGGAAAGGTAAAAGCTGTGCTCCTCGTTATTTATGTGCTGCTGCTTCTCTGATTCTGTCTGTGGTGGGGAGGGAAGGGGAAGGCAAAGGGCAATAGTGCGGCAGGGGTTGACATGTGTACAGTGTCATGGGTCTGACCAGCACAGGCTGGCAATGTGCTCCAACAAAAATAAGAGGCTTATCTGAAGTTCCTCCCTCTGGAGTAAAGTCTACAGGCAAAAAGCTTTCACTTGTTGGCCTGAGATATTCATATAAGCTACCTGAAAATTAGTCATTATTAGCCTGTTGCTCATTCCTTAAGTTACCTATGCTGTGACCTGGCTGGCAGCTTGGCAGCAGATGGCAGCTGTGGTCTCCATGGCCACTGTGAGCATGCTGTCATTTCGTGGAGCTTTGCACCCAAAGTGTGTTGGTTCTGTGCTGGCAGCACCCGGCACCCACATGGGGTACGTGCTGTGAGGGCCAGCAACACGCAGCATGGCCAGACCCAACCCAGGGCCCCATGGCGCAAAGCAACCATCTTGCCCAGATACGTCTCTGGTTACCAAACTGTCCCTCCAGCTGCTCCTCTGTACCCAGCTCCATCGTGTGTTAAGTGCATTTAGACTTGCAATATAATCTCTGCGCAAGGCAGAGAGACTCTCATGGTCAAATATACAAGGTTTTAAAGTCATGAGAGCTTTGAAAATACCTTTACTGAGTTTACGCAAAGTTATTCTTTGCATTATAGACGTAACAAGGCATGTCCTCTCAGAGGCTCAGTTTGTTTATTTCACTAAATCTGAGGTCAGGTGACTGGATAATTAACATGAATCACTCTGTGTTACCACTTATGCAAGCCCTTGTGAGCTGGTCTCCTGGTTCCCTGGCCACCCATGCCAGGCGTGCATCAGGGATATGGACAGGCAGAGCGCGTTTAAATCCATCCTGCTTGATTGGCAGCCAGATGTGTCCTTAAAGGCACCTTTGGACTGAACCAGCTGTCGGGTTGGGTGCACAGCTGTCAGCCAGGAGACAAGCCTAGCTCTGCATGTTACAAATCCTTAAAGATACTAATTTTTTTGAGCCTTTTTTTTACAATGTTATTCAATGGTTTTATGTGTAAAAAATATACTAGTTTCTATTTATCTGTTTTTACTTTCCCATGAGGCATAATCACAGCCTTTGCTAGGTGTGAGTGGATCAACAGGAGTTAAGCCAGAGAGCAGAGCCAATGCTTGGTAGCTAGTACCTAGTAGCAAATAGTGCCCAACTAATCATGCATCTGCAAGGCATTACTTCCTAACGAAGTAATGGTTTCCTTAAGGAGATATGTGTAGGACAGCAGTTAGCTTATGTTGCTACTGTATGACTTCTAGTGAAGCTCTGATCACCTGCTAGCTCTACCACATTGATCTGATTGACACCACACAGGATTATTTAGGAATGTGACTTGTCTTCCATAAACTGCTCTAGCTCCTCATTCTCTCTTCCTATACTGAGAGGTGTTAGATGGGAATTCTTGGCAAATACAACATTATTTTGGGTAGCTGTGAGATTGAAGCACCAACGCTGACCTTGCCCTTTAAAGACTAATGAATCATCTGTTGTTGGGTAGGTCAGAGCATTTAGGGGGATTTCCAGTTTTCCACAAGATATGGGTGCTACATAAGTACATGAGTGGGTGTGCTGCTGTAGGCTTCTGTCCAGTGCCACTACTTGGGCACTTTCCAGGGAAGATCACAGACAAAAAAGGATTCTGAGCTGTTCCTAGCTCCCTTTAGCTTTGCGTGTGTGTGCAATGGAGGGCTTATATCAGAGAAAATGCTCTGGCAGGAGATCAGGAGATCAGTACAGCCGATTGACACAATAAGCTTCAGGCACTGTGGGCTTTTGGTCTGATACAATCATTACTGGAGTCTCATTTGTTCTTTTATAGTGTATGAGTGTGTCAGTTTGAATTTCTCATGCTTTTTTGCTGAAGGTTTAACTGAGCATCATTTGCAACTCAAGATCTTTAAACTTTAGGCTCTGGCAGACTTCAAATGCTATTTGTTTTTAAATAGGTGTTATTGCAGGAGAAATGCTTGCAGGCTTAGGGCCTGTGCAGTGTCCTAACACAGTGCACAATCCTGCTCAAAACCAAGGCAATGCTTGTTGGCTGGACTTTACTGTCAAGGGAGTTTCCTACCTGTGTGTGTGGTTTGATGAGTCTACTCCCTCCTGCCATCAGTGGGATTGCTTTATTGTGTGTGATTGACAGATTGCTCACTGACTTGAATTCTGATTAATTTTAAGGTGCTTTTTGTCCCCTGAGCTTACTGTAGGAGGTGATATTTACGGGTCAGGAATGCTCTCCTTGAGGGAATCAGCTCTCGCTGTAGAGCTCATACATAAACGTGGGCCGAAATCCGCTCTCAAGCCTTGGCTGTATTCAGCATCAAGAATAAACTCTAGCTTCCAGCAGCCATCTTGCTTGTGCAAGAGCTCAGAAGCCACTCTTGGCCAAACCGTTGCCCTCGTGACAGCCTGCCTCCATCTGGGAAACACAAGGAGGTGGCTCTCTTTCAGGCCAATGCCAATGGCAATCAGCCACGCAGCCAACAAGGCGCTGGAAAAGGAGGAGGACGGTACGTAGCGACCACGTCCTCCTCTGGCAGCAGTGATGCTTGGGTGTACAGTGTGCTGGGAGACAGGTCCTGCACAGGCTCTCACAGAGCTGTTCTCCTGTGTACGGAGACAGGGGAGGCACAGCCAAAACTGCTCTGGCTGCTGCCTGGATTCAGAAAAGAGATGTCAGAATCACTTTCCTGTGCAGCTGAGGTTGTTAAGCCAGGCTGTAACACATAAACAGGCCAGATTTCAGTTCTTTGAAGTCAGCGGGAGCTTTACCATTAATTAAATAGCACTTGTTTTTCATTGGAACAGTTTTCTTTCTCTTTTCTGACAAATTGTCTAGTCCTCAATACAAATCAGTCTCCATGTTGCTTGAGCAGACAATATTTTCTCACCGTAGGAGCAGGTGAGCATTCAGATGAAGAACATTTTTCAAACAGCTACATCTTTTGCCTGCAAGACATGTGTCATGGTTTTGATGTTGTGATACTCTGCTGTAAATATTTATTTGCCAGTAAATACACAGAAAAAAAAAAAAAAAAAAAAAAAAAAGAGGATGAGATGAGCTGTTACGCTTTTCTTCTGACCTCCAGGGTCACTTCAAAACGACAGAGAAGGACAATTGTTTAGAAGAGAATAAATTGAAATGCAGTCAGTGATAAACGCTGCCTTTTAACTGGCTTACTCATTATCAGTTGTACCTCCAAGAAACCTCTACGTGTGTTTACTAAGAAAGGCTTTACTTTCCTTTCATCACTGCCTTCGTCTCAGCCAAGTCCCCTCCAGTTCCCTTCTATCTGCAACCATGTAAAAAATGAGATGTGGAAGAGTAGCTTCAAAGGAAAACTGGTCCTACATGGTTGAGGATACAAGTAACGGGACATTTGTGATTTTTCATTGAAATGTAACAGGACCATTTGTCCCCAAGCACTGCTTTTAAATCTGCTTATCTCTGTGTTGCTTCCTCAAAAACAGAGCATTAGCCAGATCCTCAGCTAATGTTTTTGTTGTCTGAGACATGATGGACACTGCATAAGTAACAGGATTGCTCGGAACACTCAGAGTTGCAAGTCTAATTCCAATTTCATGTTTGGCTACAAAATTTCAGACCACATTTTTTTAACAATTAGTAGTGCCCCCATCCCACATGTTTCAGGAAGTTTTTCCTGGTAGAAAAGTCATTCCTTTACAAGGGAAAAAAGACAATGTTTTTCACAAACATGGATGAAACATTAATTTTAGTTTGCACAAAGACTAAACTACTGTGTTTAAAACATTTGCATCTTAAAGACAAAGGTGAAAGGTTATAATTATCTGGACCAGAACATTTATACTTTTTTAAAAGGGAGTGCTGTAAAACCTAAATAACTGTTTAGGTTCATTTGTGAGCCATAAGCCAAATTACTCTGACACTGTGCCTGTGGTGATGTTCTGCTCAAGCATCTAAAGATCCTGTGCTAGGCTGCTAAATGGCTCTGGGTTTTGTTGTCAATATTGTAGCATAGAAATCCTGATGTGGAGTTAGTTCCACCAAATATACCTTTCAAAGAAAACTCACAAAACAAAGATATAGCCTGCCTGACTGCCATAAAAACTTTTTGCTGCTGTCTCCTTCTGTCCACTGTCACTGCAGGAGCAGCTGTGGACTTGCCTGCTCCACTTTCTGTGCTGCTGGCCCAGGAATCAAAGTGGAATGTCCTTGATTTCTAAGATAATATTAATGTGGCTTTAAATTACTTTCATAGTTTATTATTGCATATTATAAATGTGAGGGCACACTTCTGAATGAGAAGGTTGGGTTTTTTTGTTTGGTTGGTTGTTTTTTTTTAATATATGTTCGAAATGTAATTAGCAGTGTTTTATAATATCTACATATGAGTAGTCTGGAATGGATGGTGCTGTTTCTGCAAGAAGGGTTGGGATCTTCAGGAGCTGATGCCAGGAGCATAGCTTATAAAATCCTTAAGGAAGTCAAAACTATTAACATTTAAATTCAAATTCTCTGGAGAATCATTCTTGTCTCTTGAACTCTTCTGTAAGAGCTGGATGCACTGTAAACATGACACAGGTTTTATGGGAGCTTCTGTTGCCTCTCCATCCCAAAGCCAACTTTGAGTTTTTCACTCTCACTCGTACACTAGTTATTGCATGATCAGCCATGTGTATGTAAATTCTGTTCAGGGGGACGAATAGAGGGATAATTGTCCCCAGACAGTAAAGACAGCTGTCCCTAAGTGACCTTTTAAGCATAAGCACAAGGAAGAGCATCCTGAAAACTGGTGGCTCTTCACCCTATAAATGTCCTTCTCTCCTGAAGAGAAACACATATTCTTTGAGTGTACTCCCAACAGAAATCTGGAAAACCAAATTAAGTGTCTATCTTCTAATATGTCCCCAAGAGTTTTACTTCTATAACCCAGGTGGACTATTTCTCATGAACTGTACAGATGTTGTTCAGACTGCAAGCAGCTAGGTAAGAACTGTGACCTGACAGTCAAAGATATGAGGACCACTGATGATATTAATATCAACAACATTTAAAAAAAAAATCGTACTCCTTATTTACACTTCAAAGACCTGCTTCTATCAGTCTTAACACTAAAACACTTTGGTGTTAAACTTTAGCTATTAAATATTCATTTCAGTAGAAAATGCCTGAGCTGCCAGTGAGTTCCCCATGCCCATGTGTTCGTTGTTGCTGTTCTCTCCATCACAGAGTACCCTTCACGCTGTCACCTGCCATGAGAAGGTGGTGGCTGTCCGGAAGGATCACACAGAATCGCTGGGGATGACTGTAGCTGGTGGAGCATCTAACCGGGAATGGGATTTGCCTATCTATGTGATAAGTGTAGAACCTGGAGGAGTTATCAGCAGAGACAGCAGGATAAAAACAGGTAAAAAGAGGAGATTTTGAAAGCCTGCTTTAACTCAAAGGTTTCCTTTGAAAAACAGGGGGTAGTGAAAGAGTATCACACCCTGACATCTTCAGCCATCCCATAGATTCCGGGATGCATCAGAGGGTCTCAAGTCAGCTACCAGAAAAGGTATTTTATATATATATAGAGAGAGAGAGAGAGTGTAACCATTTCTGTGAAGTGGGATGTAGGCATATTCTTTTTACAGGAAAATGAACTTGCAATACCACCTCCCAGCTACTGAAGTCTTCACTTTGCAGATTCCATGGGGTTTTGATGTACATTTTTGTGCTTGTTTGTCATACCACTTATGACTTCGAAAGAAATATAAAGGACAGAATCCCCATCATATATGAAGCAGTGTTACTCCATTGTGGCTCAATATCACGTCTGGAAACACTGGCTTCATAACTCTGCTTGGCTCCTGATGTAACAGAGTGATAGAACTAACAGCTTCTCCTCCTCCGCATGAATAAGCCTTTAGAGTAAGATGAGCATATTTTATGAGTGGGTTTTATGGGAACAGGTGGGCCATAGAGGAATGGTGAAACTCTCAGTTTTCAGGGTGTTACATCTCTAAGAGCCACGTACCTCGGTACCCTGCGTCCAGCAACCGCACAGCTCTCCATCCCCTTGCTTTCCAACCCCTATGCTCAGGTTCAGCCCAGTCACTGCCCAGAAGCTGGAAGGAAATCCTGAGTGTGTGGGACATGAAGGCAACCAAGAGCAGAGCAGAACAGTTGCAATGCAGCTGAGACCTGTGAGCCTGGGTCATATCGCCCAGCACCAGCACATGTGGGAACCTCCCCTTTGCAGGAGCTATGGCTCCTCATCAGAACCCGTGTGAGAACATGACAACAGGAGCAAAACATCAGCTTTCCCCTTTCCCCCTGCTGGGAAATGACTGGCTCTCAGTGGGATATATTTTGAAAAAACATATTCATCATGAGGCAGTGTGGAAAAATCAGCCTAGTTAATTTGATAAAATTAGAAACAAATGAATATGTGACGTTATAACAATGCCGTAAGCCTCCACGGTCTAGAGCAGCCCTTAGGCTTTTGTGTGTCTCGTCGGGGCAGACCACAAGAAGAGGTTAATGTCCACGGCACACTGCCCGGACAGCTGGTGGGTACTGCCCCTGCCTGCAGAGGGCACCCAGGGAAGCCCTGGTATTGGACCATGCCACAGACAGTAGCTGAGCACTTGGCACAGTGGTTCATTGCATGACATTAACAATGTCTTTATTTTTCTCCCTGTAGTAATTGAGGTCATCTTTGCATTTTTTTCTGAAGCTGCTGTGCCTACATAACAAATAAGGTGGACAAAATGATTCTTTGGCTTGTATCTGTTCAAACAGGCATTAACATTAAAATAATAATACATTATTCTGCACAGCAAACTACACAGAGACAGCTGGAACACCAGTCCTCAGCTTAGGAAGCACTGGCTTCCTACAAGCTTTCAGGTTTCAAGCTCAGGTTGTGTACAATAGTTGTTATCTGGAAGTGGGCTTTGGAGACCCAGCTAGCATCAGGTGCCCGTATCAAAGCTTGTTGGTACAGCAAGACCCCAGCTGTGCCATTTGGCTCCAGGTGCAGGATGTGATGTGACATGAATCCAGGACCAAAACCTTTGTCCAGCCTGGCAGCACTCCTGTGTACGGGGATCTAGCCCCTTCCCTCATGCCTGTGGCATGTTTATCCACACTAAGTGACAGGATTAACAGCCTCATCAGGCAGCAAAATTTTACCCATGGCTTTGACTCATTTGTTTGTAAGGGTGGGGAGTGGATGCCGGAAACACTTGCAGGGTTTTATTCATCCCTTTTATTGGTCGTAGGTGACATTCTCCTGAATGTGAATGGGATTGACCTGACAGGGGTCAGCCGGAGTGAGGCCGTCGCCCTGCTGAAAAACACCAACTCATCAGTGGTGCTCAAAGCCCTGGAGATGAGAGCCTGTGAAGCCCAGGAGGAGCAGGGCCGCCTGCTGCCTCCTGAGGCCACACAGGTGGCCTCCGAGAGCAGCGAGTGGTCACCTTCCTGGGTTATGTGGCTGGGGCTGCCGCGGTAAGTCCACAGATTGCATCCTCTTGCTGAAGGGGAGTGGGAGGAAAGATTTGTGTTTTCTGGCAATTCCTTCTTTTGGCTTGATTCATTGCACTCACATCTTAATTAAATCCAGGCTCTGTCGCAGACTTGACTCTAAATACCTCCCTGTTGTAATGGGTATGTGTACATGGAAAAATAGACACGCAGAGCCCCTTGCAAGGGCGGAAAGGATCCTGAATTGTTCCAGTCTTGAAAA